TTGACGAAAATGTTCACTAGTTTCTTAATTGTCTTGAGAATTTCAAAAATCTCTGACGTTCTGTCATACATAATGCTAAATATTGGGTAATTAATATCCAGTGTCTATTATAAAATTTAAACAACTGATTAAAGCAATTAGTTTAGCCACAGCTCAAAAATTGATGAGCTATATTTTAAATTACACAAAATCTTATCAGCTTACTATAATTTTTTTTTGTGTACAGAGTAATTTAATGTTAGATAAAATGCAGAGTAATTAGATCTTAAATTACTTGAAACTCACAGCAAACAATCTAAGAAAATTGCTTTGTTTTGAACCTTTTCATTAAAAACTAGCTGAGTTTAAAGGAGTTAATTTTTCATAATAGCTGTAAAGCTACTCAGTCTTAGTTTTTGATGATTGTTATCGGTCATTGGAAAAATAAACAATTGTTGACATTAAGAACGTTCTCTTACAGCTCGTTCGTAATATCCGGAGCTTATGACTGTTTACAGATATAAATATTAACGGCACGCGTTGTTGTTGCGACTGAAGCGTGATTTAGTAAGTTGCTTCGCTAAAACAGGTGAGAAAACTTTTTCAGTAAAAGAATGGGAAGAAAAGCTGAATTACTTCCGATTTTCTACTTCATTTCCAGATATTTCTATTTATCTCTAATCTTGGCTATTCTATTTTTGCAAACAACCGAAGTATTTGAAAAACATGAAGAAAGCCACTGTTTCCACAGCAACGTATAAGACACAACCACTACAGCAGCATATATGACGTTTGTCTATCGATCTTTTCCTTAGCTAAATGCTTTGACGTCACCTGTGACGTATCCTCCTTTTTCCAGGACTACTACAAGACCTGTACACCATTGGGCGCGTCGTTTTGTGACGTCAGCCGGAACCGACGTCATAAGCCCGGGAACTGTCTGTTCGTAAGAGAAAGTATATAGTAGAGCATATCATCAGACCGGAGAGTATTCGGATGAAGGTCTTGAAACTGTGTAGATGCGGAGAGAAGAGCTTCTAGCGCTTCCTATAGATCACACGTGTTAAACGAGTTTGCTCCTCCTTATCATTTATCAGAGTTATCATCTGGATCTATCTGATAACAGCAGAAAAGTGGAATACTTTAATAAAATTAACGGATTTGGCGATGATTATCGCCTTTTATCTGTTTCAACTTGGGTACACGTTGATTTGCTAGTTACATGTGAGTAATTCTTAAAAATTTTCATAAATTGAATGAAAATTTCTTAACTCTTAGCTAGATATTCTATATTGTATATAAATAACAATTTGTTTTAGTTCATAAATAATTATTATACTTTTCTTACACTTACATTTTTCATATTGAATTTAAATAGTTACTCTTCGTTCTTTGAACGCGCTCAAAAGTATTTTTGTAAATGATAGCATATATTATCTAATAATAACTCTATATACTATTTTATGTTCTCTCTTCGCACTTCACGTATTTCTGATTTTAATTTCTACTATAAAATCTGTTTTTTCTTAATTGAAAGTATATTTACTCATGTTTTTATTTAGTTAATTTTTTGACAAGAATAAATAAATTTTTTTTTTATAAGTTTCGCTGAAAATGCTGGTAATTCTATTTATGGTCAAAATTTATTTACAATGTTCAGGACAATGCAGTATATATTAAAAAGAACAGTGATTTACTTTTTAAAAACTTTTCATAGGTATTTATTTATTATTTATTTAATATGATTATAAATTTTTGATTAAGACGGAATTATAAGCGGTTTTTCTTTCGTAACTGTTAAATATTTATGTTCGAAAAGTTGTTTATAAAGGAAGATAAAGGAATTTCTAAATGTTTTTTTAAAATTTTCAATAATTATTGCTTAATAATTTGCTGAAATAAATTGCTACTATTTCTCCGTAATTTTTATCTATAAATGTTCTTTTTACCATGTATAATGTACTATTTCATGAATTAAAACTAAAATAATAATTTATTTATTTATTTGAAGTAAAATGACCGCTTTATGTGAAATAAGAAACTGAAATTATTAATATATTAATCAATGCGAAACCGAAATTAAAACAAATGAAAAAGAAAAGTCTCCAGACGAAATATCGTGACGTCACATCGTGACGTGTAATGCGTGCTATGATTTTCTCCTCCCTCGCAAGATCCGTCTTCTACATGATCGATTGGGCGTGTTCTTCTGACGTCATCTGGTACGTGAAGATGTATAGCTGTAGTGTGTTGTTTTTCCACAAGAGGGAATTTCCGCTCATTTAAATGTGCCCATCTATATTTAAATTTATATCGTTGACTTTCTCAGTAGTTTTTTAATGTTTTTTTCCTATTATTTGTAAATTTAATAAAGTAAATTTTGAGCTTAAAAATTGTATTAAAGTAGTTTACCAAGCATGTTTTTCAGAAATAATTATAATCTAACATTTGGTCTATAAAAATGAGGTTCAGAAATAATTGATGACAATTTTTTTTCCTTTTTCGAAAGAAAAGGTACTATAATGTCCCAATTAAGTTGGATCTAAACTACGTATATTTTAATATCTAGAATGACGCAATACTCTCGGATAAAAATAAATACTAAAATATAAATTTTTCTTGTTAAGTACTTAAATATAAACTTTATTTTATAAGAAGGAAACAACACAAAAGTTAGCATAGTTACAGCTCCTTGAAAAATTAAACAGCACACAAATAATAATTTTGTAAGCTGATTTATTTTTAAAATTAATTTGTATAAAAAATTCTTTGTTTTATTAAGCTCTGTGGGTGCAAATTAACTGAATTATTAATAAATTCACCTAAATACTATTTTTAAAAACTGTTTAATTACTGTCGTATATTTTTGTTAGGGTTTGGTATCTTTTGCAATGCATATTTATTCTAAAACGCATATCTATTTTTGTTATTAAATACATATTTAATAACTACCTGTGAACAGTATTTTGATTATGCTTTATTCATTATTCGTTTTTTTTAAATTTTATAGATAAAATTATATGATTAAAAAAATTATTTTATTTACACATATTTTCTTAAAACTTCATTTCCGCAACATTTAAATTTAAAATTTTACCCTGCCTCACTTTTGATGTATTTTAATTCTTGAGAATGTTGTTAGTCAATGTTTTGAAAACAAAGATTTTTCGCGCCTTGCCAAAAGTTCGAAATTTTAAAAGTTATAGAAATAAACTTGTAACATAGCAAATGGATGAAATCCAATTAATTTACATGACAGATCTATGAACTAACTTTATAATTTAGATATCGACCCCCTTTTCTTATAACTCTCAATGACGTCACCAGATCATCAGGCGAAGAATCGAAACTTACGCATGAAACTTTATGACGTCAAGAAGCCTAAAATAGTAACGCCTCTTTTCCCCGTTACGTCACGAGGAATCGATGGTATTGCCGAGTTTCTAATTTTAGAATAACACTCTTGAAGTGTCTCAGTTATTTTCTCTCAAGGTTGAATCGGCAGGTGCCTTGTTTTGGCTCAAGAGAGAAAACTAAAAGGAAAAACTGATTTAAAATTCGAGCCATGTTCTCGAGGTAAATTTTTTATTTCCTTTATAATTTAAAAGAAGCAGTATCAGAATCTCTTGATTTCTTCGATTAAAATTCTTGTCTCATTTTATATGCGTGAAATATAAATGAAAACGATGTATATATATATATATTCAAAATATTCTGTATGCTTGAAATATAAATGAAAACGATTTATTTTTCGAGATATTTTTGATAAAGCTTAATTTTTTTAAAAAAATATCAGGATATTATCTATGTAACGTAGAATGTCGTATATTAGGATAGCTCCTCTTTATTTCTAAAGCTGGAAAATAAATGTTTAATCCAAATATCATGTTTAACTATAAAAATGTGTGATTCAATAGGCCTGAAATTTTCAAAGGTTCCTATAACGCCTGAAATTAATTTAACGTAATACGCAATTTATTTAGCAATATATATCTATATTTTTTTTTTTTGGTAACTAAGTGATTTTATAAATACTAACTGCCATTAGAGCTACTGGCAGTTATTTACAATTAGTGAGAAATTACAAGTCAATTACAATATTTCTGCCAATTAGTTACTAAAAAGTTTCAATTTATGACTTATTTTGTATTTACATGACCATTAAAAAAAAGCATACATTAGGCTTTGCTTGTCATCAGATAAACTGGTCACTTGACAAGTGAGCTGGTCCTTTACTGATTTTTTTTTACAATGACGTCAAACCTGGATAATTAGTGCCTCCTTAAGCTGTATATTTTAATTTAGTGTTATATTATGTTATAAAACAAAATGTGTCTTTCGAAAAAAATTTATTGACTGAATGTTGATCTGTTCTGTTTTATCAAATGTGTTTCCCATGTTTCGTAAAATTATGCATGCGATTTGATTTTCGGATCAGATTCTAACATTTTAGGAATTGGCATCTGTTAATAATTGCTCTAAATTAAATTTGAGTCGGTACTTACTCGGGTGTGTGTATTTATTCTGATGCGTGATTCCCTTCCCTCAGAATCTGGACTCAGTCCATGGGGCAGTGAAAGAATCTTTATGTTCAGCACTTCGCATGAGAAGCTATATCAGTGGCTGGCAGAACTGCTGCTCGCCGCATACCCTAGTAAGTCTTTCATAATTTATGAAAAAGACTTTGATTCTTTTACTAATTAATTGTTATTGTGCTGATATTGTTATTAATGAAGTGTTATCTACAATTTCCTTCTTATTTATTACCCTCTTATTCTGAAACCTGGAAAAACCATTCTCATTGCATCTTGAAAGTTTAAGAAAAAAAATCCTATTTTTCCTTGTTGGAATGCTATTTGGCGTCTTTTAACATAACCCCTTTTATCCTTCATTATAAAGTATGCCAAATCTTGAAGCATAGGTTAAAAAAAACGCATGGATATTTTTTCCTTTCTTTTTTGCCATTACTATGATGTAGGCTTATGGGATGCGTTTTTAAAATCGTGTTTTTTTTATTTTAGCCCCCGAGCTGTCGAATCGAGAGTCTGCCACTGGCTGCAGGACAAGCCCCAGCGAAGAACTGGTCTCGGCAACATCATCCAGCCTTGTCACCAGCAGCGACAGTGGAATAACCACGACTACAACAAATACTACATCAGTGGCAACAACTGAAGCCCCGGTAACCATGCTTCTCCTCCAACAGCCGCAGGTAATAAAAAGTCTTGAAAATACCTTATTTTTAACTTATCATTTTCTATTGAGATTTATCTAATCACCTTTGACACATAATAACTCTTGTATTAAAAATATTTGTTGCCTTACAATGGAACAAGATGTCCTTTTATAACCTGTCAGAGTTAACTCTTAACCAAGCTTATAGTCAAATCATAAATATTTGCCTCAACTTTCTTTCAAACCTAAGCAAAAATCAACATTCAAGCGTGCCTGTTCCTCACACATATACTAAAAAGAAGGGCTTGTTACGTAACAGAACCGACTGAACCGCATTCTTGACTTCGGAGATCAACAATATTACATAATAAATGCAGCAGTTAAGAAGCACCGCCCATTACGCGTCGTTGATTACTGTAGGAATAAACACAGGGTAAACATAAAAATAAATAAATAAGTGCAACAGAAAAGAACCGTGTGAATATATAGCAAGCAACTTCTTGTAGATAAAATTTAATGCTTTTTAATTGCATATACCAGCAATAAAATGTGGCTACATTTCTTTTAAGAGCCGATGTCGTTGGTGAGGTGTTTCTTGTCCTCCTGTACATTTACTTTGTGTTGTCTAACTTTATGAAAAACATCTAAAATTGTATTTTTTTTTCTTCTGCAGAGCACTCAGTTCAGTGGCACCATTCTGAATCCGGAATTCAGTATTCCCTTCCCAGAGGAAGTGGCTTTTATTGGAGAAGATTTTAAATTACCTCCTTTGGAGTTCGGAGCACCATCCGAAGGTTTCTTGACAGGCGGGGACAGTTGCAGTGGAAGCACTTTCCAGGACATGTTCCAGCAGAGCATTTTTTCGGCTACAACAACCGAAGAGCTCACTCCTACAACTTCTACGACCAGCATCGCATCTCTGCCCAGTTTCCAAGAGACTTATTCCCCTCGATACAGAAGATCCGATGTCTGCGGTGTTTTCTCCTTCAAGTTCGAAGATATTCCAACTGAAGAAGTGTCCATGGAGGAAGATATCGGTAAGAATTGTTGAAATAATTTATTTAAATGTGAAAACAAACTATTTATTAACATTTTATGCATGAAACTAAACAGCTTAAAAAAGAGCATAAATAATAAGCAAATATACAATTGCTATTCTAACATTTAGGAATGTCATATTTGCAGACTTTAAAAGAATATAAGCCAGTTTTAAAAAAATCAAGAATTTCTGATAATTTTAGTTGGAATAAATAAATCTTGGTGTCATTTGCATAGTTAGCTACTTTCATTTATTTAAAAAACTTTTGAAAACTAAAATTGTCTGTTATGGACGTAATGCAAATATGTTACTTCCGTAACAACTATTTTAATATGAAAAAAAAAACTATTAATAAAAAAAACTTAGAGTTAGGGCAATTGAAACCAAGACTTACTTTCGCAAAAGCTTAATTTTTTAAACTGAAATCTGCAAATTCGACAGATGTAAATGAGGGAATTGCTCTATAGTTTCGATTTGACAGTAAGTAACCTTCTTCAGTGTTAACACAATATGAAGAAGTAAACCACGAAATAAACCTTATATGAATGCTATCTCTATGCTTCCACCTTTCATTTTGTGTTCCGACACTGAAACCGATTCTTTATTATAAAACCGGATCTGTTTGGTGACATAATTTGTCACGCTGTTTAGCTTTATACTTATGTAGCACGAAGTTAACTCTTTCTTTACTTGAATGACATTTTATTGTTTTTTTTTATAGAAGCAGATCATTTCTCTATCTCCATGACACCATTTTCACAACCTGACGACGTCACCTCCATTACAACGCTTACATCTGCCACACCAGCTCTAGATAGTCCTGGTCCTTCTTCTTCATCCTTCATGCCACCATCCTTTGCATCAGAAGGATCTACATCAAAACCATCTTTTCATCAGTTAGTCTCTCCATTTCCCACTACCTTCACGGGTGTTTCAGGAATCAGTCTCGAAACCCCAACACAATTTGGGCAACAATCTCCTACTTTGCACGAATTGACCTCACCATCACCTAGTCCGAAATCCAGCCGAAGCAGTAAAAAGCCATCACTCACCTTGTCCACTTCATCTGCATCTGAAATCAGCAGGTATTGATTCATGTCTCATTTGCATGTTAAGCAAAGGTAATTTAGGAATTTGAAGAAAAAAAACTAATACCTTGTTATTGTTGTAAATTACAGTGTTCGCCATGCTACACCCACTACTCCAACAACTCCTAGTGCAACCTCAGGTTCTAGTCGATCTTCACCTAGTGCGCAAGAGAGCACACCCCCACCTTCCATGTTATGCGCAGTCTGTGGTGATAATGCTGCCTGCCAACATTACGGGGTTCGAACTTGTGAAGGCTGCAAAGGCTTTTTCAAGGTAATTATTTTTCTAAGACTGAGATTTAGCAATGTCACGTAGCACTTCATATTCTGCGGTGCTTTGTTACTAAAGAAGAATTCTAGTTTTCCTCTTAGCTTGCGCAGATAATAGTCTGTCAACGTGCTTCGTGGGGTAGCTAAAATCTGTTGATTTTGTTAATATATTGAATATATTTAACCCTTTGACGCTGATGGAATACCGTCATGAATAACCTTTATGCATATTTTTTGACGCTCTAATTACAAGCAAAATTATATTTTAGCATTTTTTAATTATAAAAAATCGTCTAGTAGTCACTAAAAAAATTGTGTTAGATTTCTAGAATTTAGAACTTAATCAGAATTAACTAAAAAACTGTAGTTTGAAAGTTTATTTTTTTATTCATATTTAAAAATTAATTAATAATTGATTTTGTAAATTAAAGTAATTTCAATTATTAATAACTGTTTCTTTTTTAGATCTAAATAACTTCAAATAATATCAAATTTGAAAAATTATTGTTTGGAAGTGAGCTTTATTTGGAAGATTTTACCTTTAACTCGGAAAAAGTCACCAGTGTTTTATGGTGTATTTCTTAACCATAAATTATTAAAATGCTAAATATAATATTTTTCATTTATTTAGACCTAAATTAATACAAAACAGCAAAAAATGTGTGAAAATGTGTTATCGCTTTAGCTAACTTTATTTGCCAATACTGCTTTCTTCTGTAAAACAAAGATGTACATTATGCATAGATTTTTCCAATTGTAATTGGAAAGCGATTTAATGTTTATTAAAAAAATGTGTTAAAATGGAAAATTATTTTTTTGCATAATATCACATGCTCCTAATTTTAATTTTGCAGAGGACTGTGCAGAAAAATGCAAAATATGTCTGTCTTGGAAACAAAGATTGTCCAGTTGATAAAAGACGTAGGAATCGGTGCCAGTTTTGCAGGTTTCAAAAATGCTTAGCAGTTGGCATGGTTAAAGAAGGTGTGTATTAATTTTATATTGCTATAAAATTTATCAAATAGGAAAAACCATTGTTTAAACTAATATTATAAATTTTCATTTACAATGATAGATAAAGAAGTGTATAATATGTATAGAGAGATCTTATCTATTGAATTGCGCATTTATTGTTAGAATAAATTTTAAATTTCTTAAAGCAAAAAAGCTTGAAAACTCTGCAGTGCTATTTGCTATAATTTTATGCAGTAAAAAGCATTGTTTTATTTATTCAATCGATAATTTAATGTAAGAGTTTTGAAGCTGCATTTTTATTAAAAATTTGAGTATGTGATCCAACAAAAATTATAAATGCTTTTAAATCCGAAGAGAAGATAAATATATTACACTCCCCGAAGAATTAATAACCTACTATTATTCCATAAATTAAATATTTTTACTTTGTTAAAAATCTGTAGAAAAAAAAAATCCTATGCAAAAATTGAAAAAATTACGCTTTATTTAAAAGAATGCGTAATTTGCATGAGAATAACATAAGCGGATAATGTTAAACGCAGGTTACAGGTGTATTGAGGGAAAAACAAATTTCTAAAAGATTTTACCTAGTTGCTGATAGATGGCGCCAACACCAAAAACTTTAATTTCAGAAAATAATCGAAATCATAAGAACTGCGTAACAGAAATTCTCCTTCTCTGCTAGCAGGTTGCGCAATATATAATTATTTTAAAATATTTAATTAGTGATTTCTTTTACAGTTGTAAGGACGGACAGCTTAAAGGGACGAAGAGGCCGGCTGCCCTCCAAACCCAAATCCCCCCAAGAGTCTCCCCCATCGCCGCCGGTCAGCACTATTACTGCCTTAGTCCGAGCTCATGTGGACACTACACCAGACCTTGCAAACCTTGATTATTCTCAGGTATTAAAATATTTATTCTTCTTTTTTTTACATCTAATAAATAAGCTTCGAAATATTTGTTTATAAAAATAAAAAAGTCAGGATTTATATTCGACGCAGCATTACTTCCTTTTCAATAATCGACGCAGATTTCTACTACGCACTTGCTGATAAGGAGTAAAATAAATAACAGTTTGGTTTAAAAATATGTTTTATACCAACATATTATTGCGTTTAAGGTAAACTAAATTCAAGAATGGTTCTATTAAAAAAAAATTAGGTTTGATTTTGTAAAGAATGAATATTAAAATGCAAAATGATTATTTTTCAGTGCTTTAATTTTAGGAAATACGGAAATAATAAACTTTTACTTGCATACAAAAAATTTCTCAATTAAATGCCTTTTTCCTTAATGTTCTTGCTCCCGTTTATTTAAATGATTGAATGAAAAGTAATAATATACCAAAGTATAATAATTTTCAATGAAAGTTATATTTTGTAGTTTTTTCCTCACTGAAACATTAAATTACGATCTCTAATTTTAAATTAGTTATATTTTTCTAATCCGTTTCCCAATGTTATATTTAGATTTTCAATCTTGTATTTTAATTCTGCAATTAAATCTCGTATTCAAATTTTAAATTAAATTTTTTCGAATTCGTTTTCAAAGTAATGGTCAAATAAAGTCTAAATGAAACATTTCACGAATTTTATTCATAAAAATAGCAGTTTACAATGATCAAAATTTCACTTTGATAAATTTACCAAGCATAGTCGTAAAATTTTCACCTAAAATTACTTAAAAGTCAAAATTTTTTACACATAACTAAATTTCTAAAGACTTTTTTTTAAAATTTACTTTCATAATATGTCCGTAACTTAATATTTTGTCAGGTTTATAAATTCCATTTATTAAAGAAATCTGTTTTATATTGCAGTTCATTGATCACACTGCTCAAAAGCAGGAACCGACAACAGCTGCAGATCAAGTACAGCAATTTTATGACTTGTTGGTCTCATCTATAGAAGTAATCAGACAATTTGCTGACAAAGTTCCCGGATTTGTAGAACTAAATAAAGATGATCAAGAACTGTTATTCCATTCAGCAAGCTTAGAGTTATTTTCTCTACGACTAGCCTATCGGTGAGATTTAGCCTATTGCCTTTGTTTATGTGCAATAGTTATTAAATTTAAATCTGTTAATTGAAAGTGTAATAAAATTTAATAAAACTTAATCTTAAATTAATTTCATTAGCTTTCCGTTGTGTTCTTGAATTAATATGAATAAACTGAAATTCATAGCCAAATATCTTGGTGAATAAGTCAAGATTATCATTAATTCAATCATCAATAAATCAATCTTCAATTCTATCATCGATAAATCATCAATTTTAAATGGTGCTGTTTTAGAATCGTTTGCATCATTTTAAACATGTAATTTTAAATGACAAAATACAACATTTAAATTGGAATGGTTTCTGAACAAGTCTCTGAGTTATGAAATTTGACAGAAAGTAGTATTTTGAAATTTTCATTTTGTAAGAATTATTTAAAATCGCTCATATCATTGTATAGATTACAATTCAAAATTTTTTCTACTGCCTTATTTTGATGATAAAAATTTAAAAATAGAAATCTATCAAGGACTGTTTTATTTATTTAAAGATTATGTCTAATTTTTTAACTTAATAGTTAGCCCTGTTTAATTAGCATTTTCAAAATCGATTCTTTGAACTATTAAGTTTATTCCCCTTTTAGTGCGTGAAAATCTGATGATTTAAACAAAAGTTATTCTTGGTAATTGCTTTTGTCAGAATGTAATAGTTTAACAAAACTTGTTTTCATTTTTAGGATTCATCCAGAAGATGAAAAATTGACTTTCTGCAATGGAACAGTCCTTAGCAGAGATCAGTGTCAACAGATTTTTGGTGACTGGCTCAACACCATCTTGGATTTCTCTCGAAGTTTGCACAGTATGGATATCGACATATCTGCTTTTGCTTGCCTCTGCGCTCTTGCTCTAGTCACTGGTGAGTTAGATACTTATTTAGATGTCTTAAAAATTAAAATTTTTTTTAAAGTGTAAGCGTTAAAATGCTTATAAACCTCATAAGTTTGAGTTCTCCTCTCGTCAAAGTAATAGATGTATTTTCGTGTGTGCGTTGAGCTAAATGAAAAAAGACTATTGAATTTATTGAACTGTAACTTACACTGTTCCCTTATTTCAGCAAATAATAAATTATATCTATTTGTTAAACGCGCTTTTAAATATTTTACTAATTCAAATTCATTTAAATAACTCTGCAGAATTTTAAAAATTAAACAATTCTAATATTATCCAAAAAAGTAAGCTATTTAAAAGGTAATTAATTAGAAACACCTCTTGCACTGAGAAAAAAAGTATGGTCCAAACTACAAGAATATAGCAAGTTTTTAAGTGTTTCTTACTCTATTGGAGCACCCAAAAGTTCGGTAATTTTTTCCGATGGTAAAAATAAATTTTTGGTAATATTTTTATAAAATTATAAATAAAATTTGGTAAATGTGCTAAAATATGGTAACTTTATAAAGATACCACAGAGGATGGCATAAAAACCATTTATTCGGTTAAATTTGCTTTTCAGTTCCTTATTTTTATTTTCTACTAAATGTAATAAGAACTAAAATTTTGGATACCAGTATTTCCGGTAAACCAACTTATTTCCATATAAACGGAAAAATTACCAAATGAATGGTTTAAATACCGAATATTTAGATTTAATTATGTTTTTTTTACCAGTAATGTCATTACCATACAGTACATTAATTTTACCGAAATTTTTTATCCGTGTGGATTTACCATTGAATTAAATTAGTTAAGATCTTTTCCATCCCTCCTTCTCCACTAGTGATTCGGCTGACTTCGATAACGTTGTTATTTCTTTCACGCATAAATATTAATTTGCGATCTATAAGGTGCATTCTTTTTTTACTTCATTTTTTTATAAAGTTTTTACAATTGCATATTGTCAAATCTTGTAAAAATTGCAATATGCTATCAGTATGGAACATGTATAAAAATGTATATTTTAGAGGCAATATTGCATTTTGAGGTAGGCTATTAATTTAACCTTTTAACTATAACGAAATACTTCGTTTTATAATTAAGTTACTTTTAGTTCGCATATGGCGAAATATTAAGTTCTTCGCGAACTACTACTGCGATTGGCATGCGTCATTTTACGTTATGCAAATTACTTGGGGTGTGATGATATTACTTATACCTATAGAGAAAAGTCCCCATTGTGAAACGAATTGAATAAAAGTTTATTCCACAGTTAAGAGGATAAAACTAACTTTTAGCTAATGTATAACCACTATATGACGAATATTTTGCATGCCTAATTTTTTTTCATTTCCTTTCAGAACGACATGGTTTGAAAGATCCCCAACGCGTGGAGCAATTACAGATGAAAGTAATCAGCTCGCTACGTGATCACGTCACATATAACAACGAGGCTCAAAAGAAACCCCATTACTTCAGTCGAATCCTCACTCAGTTACCCGAATTGCGGACTCTAAGCGTGCAAGGATTGCAACGCATCTTCTATCTAAGGTTGGAAGATCTTGTTCCCGCCCCACCGCTGGTCGAGAACATCTTCACCTCCAGCCTGCCATTCTGAATCTAGATATGAACCCGGACTATAGAGAGTCCGGCTGGTTTGTTTGTCCTAAGCTCAGGGTGGCTAGCAGGATGCGAAAAACCTTCATCAGGCATGTCCTTGCCGGTATGCCAGGGCGCCCGCCCGCCAAAAGGGTTCACTTGGGTGCCCCTGCCGTGCGAGGGCATGACCCCTCCTCGGAAAACTTTCGCACCCTGCGAATGGTCCACCCTATACCAAAATAAAAAAGAACTCTCATCGATCAAGATCTCGTCGATCTGTAGACCAAGTCGTATGCGTGTGTTGTTGTCAACTTTTAGTCGAATAGATTTTGCGAGTAGACAAGAGGGTTATAGACCCAAAGCTTCTCTATGATAGATAGGCTATCAATGTTATTCTTGTTGCAATGAAAGCTTATAGAAGTGAAGGGCTTAATCTAATGAACTATTCATTTAAAAACTGCCAAATTTTTTCACTCCTAATAATTAAATAAAAAAAATGAATATTTTTAGTTTGTATTGTTGCAGAAAAAAAATGCATAACGAATTTGATGTTCAATTTTGTAATTGCCAAAAGATTAAAGAATATTTCATATTTTAAAAATAGCACAACTTGCATCAGTATTTCTTAAAACCAAACATTTGGAAATTATTGCAAATTGAAAGTTTTATGATTCTTAAATATAAATTTCGTGTTCTGTATATATTTATGGATATTTTAAAAGTATAAAGTACTGTTATTCGTTGAATTCAAATTATATGACTTGATGCGATATTTAGAATATTTTTTTATTAGAACTGTTAGTACATGTGACCAAATTTCACATTTTTTGTTATTTTCTTTTTGTTGAACATCTGAACTATTATAAATATTTTGTTAACTAAACTGTGATATTTTTGTTCAAAATTACTTATTTTTCAAATTGAACATTTATTTTGTGTTATTATTATCCGTTTTATTTGTTATTACACAGATAAATCATGTTTATTGGACCATTTCTACCTCAAAGGAAATAAATGCGTTAACACAGATCTAAAGGACTTGTTATATTTTTATTAATGTTATTATGAGGTGGAAAAATATCTGCTTTGTATAAATTCTCATATTTATTTATTGTTTTTAGCTAAATAAATTATTTTAATTCTCCACGAAAAAAAGTTGTGTTATAATTTTATTTTACTTATAACATAATGTTGAACCACAACTAAACTATACTAACGTTTGAGGTTCATCACTTCAGTTGCGAGATATCAAAAATTACTTTATAGAGTGGTTAACTCACGTACGTGACGCATATTTTCAATTTATTCTATTCCTCCATAAGAGGAATACCTGTTGCTGCTTCAGAAACCGTAATAAATTGGTTAAATCTTTATTTTTATTTATTTTAACATTATTTATTTAAAGCTTTTAAGGTGTACGATTTTTATAAAACATCTTCAAAACCGACGAAGCACACATCTTATCTATTGCTTCACCACAATCTCTTACAAAAATATTGAAGTAGATGTGGTACAAATTGGAATCTGACTTTCTAGTTTTTAATTTTAAAGTACAAAATTTTATAAATATAATCATGTGCTAAAAAGCTAATAAAGGGAAGTTTAAATCTATGTCTAAATAATCGCATCTTATTTATGCAAAGTAATAATTAAACTAATACATAGATGTGTAGTGCGCCTAGCTAAAATGTATCGAAAGTATATTTTTTTTGTCTGTTTAACAATTATGTACTTTTTTATGGCCTAAGCAATGATTTAAATATTATCTATACACACGCAAAAAATATTATAAAAAAGCAAGTTGTTGTAAAGCTATAATGAAATATTCTTGTGATTATTAGTATTGTTAATAAATAATGGTTTTAAGAGTTGTTGTGAAAAGATATCGATAAAGTGTTTTAGACTAATAAAAGTCAGTGTTTCGTCCAGGGAATTTGCCAGAAGTACCCGCCCAATCATATTTCAGTGAAAAGAAAAAAAACTGATTTAAATCACGTGATGACTAAAAACGAGTGCTCTTTTAAAGACAGAGTGAAAAAGACACGAATTTTACTGTATTTGTGTATGTGTGTAAAATTGAAAAAAAAATTGCCTTGCTCTACATATTCACAATTAATTGTGATAACGTTTGATTGTTGAGTGCATGGAAGAGTTAATAAGAAAAACTTTGTTAAAGGGTCTGGATGCACCATATATAGACCCGCTTTCAAGTCTAGCTTGGTACTTCCTCGATTTTCTGTACTTAAAAAAAAAAACCTGTGATGTATTTTTGAAGAAATATTCACTTAGGTCTAGTCGCAGTGTCGTGCCATATGTGTTCTTTCAAAGCAATTAGAATGTGTGTGCATTGCGATTTAATGCAAAGAAATCGCTTACAATAACTCTGCATTTAATGACTATGGTGAAAATGTGATTCATGAGTATCTGTGAAAGACTGAGAATAAGACTTTAATTTATGTCTTATGCATGTACCAAATAAGTTATTTCTATCTATTGTTTTTTTGTGATATTAATGAAAATTTATTTAATGCATTGTTTTTGAGCACTTAATTTGTTTCTGTCATATTCATCAACCATAGTTGACCTGTTGTGATTTCCAGTTTTTTTCCTTTATGAACATCATTTAAACTTAGAGTAGATATGAAAGAACTTGTACTATTTTAAAGCATGTATATATAAAGATTATATAATAGTTAATTTTTATGATTGAATCATATTCTTGTTGTATATTATCGATCTAACTATGCAGAGTATTCTATATTCACAGCTCTTCATATATATTTTTCGAATCCCTCTCAAAAAAGTAACAGACGATTAAACAAAATGCTTTTAAAATCTCTCGAATCACTAATGGGGAAGAGGGTTTGAAGTATATGAAAATATAAATTTGCCTAATGAAATTTGGAAGTGTTTTTAATAATCATCTTCAACTTCTCCCTGTTTCATCCTATAATCAAATAGGTTTTGATGTTTTCAGATCTGCATTTCTTAATTATTTGTTTGAATATTTTTGTTTTTTTCTGTTAAATATTAGTTTATATACCCCTAGAGTACGTGCTTTTTGTCTTTTTTTGACAGGGATTCTAATAATATATATTGAGGGTGAATATTTTATATGTAATATACTTTAAAAATATAACTCGTAAATATGGAAATACGATTTGTTGTGCTGTTAAGGTCTTTTAATTAACTTTTCAGGATTAAATCTGTTACAAATACGGAAGTTATTTAAATTACGATTCATTAATTGTTATATTGAACGTGTGTTTAGATATTAACTAACGTTCAATTCTACAAATAGTTTTTTTAGGATTCAAAAATTTCCTCTAGTTAATGTTTGTTGTAACTTAAATGAATTGTATTTCCTTAGGATTATTTTTCGAAAAGAAGTATAATTTTACACTGTTTTATTGTTTTTTATTAAAAAATGATTAAAAGAAAGTTCTCTAGCTGATTTGTTTTAAACTTGAGTTAAAAAAGTTTTTGAAAAATTAAAATGGCTGATGCTTGAAGGAATTTAAAATGAAACGTTGTGTACTTAATGAAATATGTTTCTCACTTAGATATTAATATATATTGTTGTTGTATATTTATCGGTAGTTAAATTTCATATGTTTATTAGAATTTTTCAGAGATCTGAGTTCATGCACATTTTTTTTTAAAAAAAGGAAAGAAAATATTGCATATCAAATTGAAATGAGAAAAATGTGTGAGCACTTGATGTTACATTAGAAATACATATAAAAGATTACATGCTTTTGCGGAGTATTCTTAAAATATAAATAGTTTTATAGAAAATTTATGAAATCAAATTAAATTTGAAATGTATTTTCTAGCATATTCCAAAAAATGCTCTATTATTCAAGTAAGGTTTTTAACGCGGTGTTTGTGGGAGAGTTTCGATATTTTAAATGAAAAGGCATTGAAGGTTCACTTTCGTAAAATAATGTAGTTTGATTGCTGTTTCAGAACAATAATTAATGTTCCGTTTTTCTGTTCATTTCATTTAAATTTTAGGCCTTATTATTGTTTCAAAACGATAATTGATTTTCCTTTAACTAGTTTCGCCTTATTAGTTCATTACAATTAGAGATTTAATTCAATACCATTTCAGAACGTTAATAATTCGTTTAATCAGTCGATTACAATAAAATATTTAGCCGAATTTCAGTTTCTCAACGATAATTAATGTATCCTTATAATTGTTCATTACAATTAAATATTTGGTCTTATTTCCGTTGAAGCAATAATTATTCGTCTTATCAGTTCTTTGCAATTAAATAATTAATTCAGTTACCGTTGCAGAACAATAACTAATAATTCGTTTCATCTATCTATTACAATAAAAGTGCTGTTTTTTTAAAATCGTTTTAAACTGCTTGATCACATTCATTGCATTTATTTTATTTAATTCACATTAACTTTATGTGTGAAAATGCTTGATTGCAATTTAAAATGAGAGAATATTTGTATTATAGACACTTCATTGTTACTGAGATCTTTCGATTTTTATGTGATATTACCTCTATTTATTATTAATATTATTGTTTGAAATGACTATGTGATTGAAATGGAAAAGTTAACAAAATCTTGCAAGATTTTGGGAAAAATGCAGCAAATTATTTTAATCTTGTTTCATGTAAAGCACAATGTCAAAAGATATTATATTGCTCCGATGAAGCAAGTTTAATTTTGTATATTATAAAGACTTACTGTGCATTGTTTAATCAAATATTTTATCTCATATTCTATATCCCAGAGATGTCATATTTTTGCTTCATTAAAAATACTTGTTCAGCATTCAGCGGGCATTTAAGCTCCTAGTCACGTTAAAAATATTTATTTATTGTTGTTACCTGTAATGTAAGTATATTCGATTAAAATATAAAGTTTATTATTGTTTCCGAACTTGTATGTTCTTTTGAGTGCTTATTCTAAACACAACACAAATCAGTACACAATTGTTGTGACTTTTTATTACAAATTTGGCTTGTTAACCTTTTTCTTTTACTAGTTAGATTTCAACTTTTTTTAAAAAATTATTTGCCTTAAAATTTTTTGAGTGCTTTTACCTAAGGCTACTGAAAAAAAACTTTTCGCCAATTTTATTTATTTACTATTTTAAATAAAAATTTAACTATTTACATATCCGACAAAAAATTCTTCACAAGGCCAAAATATGAAGACTTGTGTAGTTGGAAAAATATCTCCGCTAGGTTTGCGTAAAAATTTAATATTTTGATTTTATATTTATAATAACTTTTTTAGCAATAATTTTTTACAAAATTATTACGTATTTAACTGAAAATACTTTAAAAAAGAGGAGGAGTTTATCTTTCAATTAATCAAAAACTATAAACACACTTAAAAAATTCTTCGTGTAACAAAAATTACAGTATTGTACCTACAAACGCTGAAAATATTCTTTGTTTAACAGAAAGTTTACAATTAAACAGAGAACTAAGACAAAAACATTTGTGAGAGATTGTCTCCGCACCCTAAAAAAATTTTTTTGTATAAATTTACAGAAAAACACAGAAATTAAAATTACAGTATTACAGTCGCCAACGTTTTCACTTTTCGAGGAACATTTTTCCTAGTGGTAGTGTAATTACAATTGCTTCAGAACTTTTTTGAATTTTATCAACACTAAAAAAAAAAAAACTTATGTTATCAAGCATTACATTAAGTTGTTTCAATTTATATCACGGAATTATGATCAGTCTATGACGGCACCATCCTGCAGTAAGATGGTTTTTGAGGGACGCTT